TAATTGTAGAGCTACACGAGGCTGTTAACGCATCGAGCTCACGTAAGATAGTAATCCGACTCGTTCATGGTTGTATTAACTAAGTATTTGTGCATGGCATCTGTACATCGCCTGCTCGCGAGTTCGCTCCGAGTATTTGCTGAAGATTCAGGTCGTCGATGGACCGAAGCAGGACAAAACTGATAGTTACCGTTATCGTTACCGACGATGTGGTCTTTCAAGAACCACTTCTTTGTACGTCGAATCCGTGGGCTTTTTTTGTTCATTGATATAAACTTTCAGCTTCGTTTGCACGTGTCTCCCGTATCTTGATCTTTCATGGTTCCTTTCATTTTTACTTATTACTCATGTCGAACTAATTTTGGTTATAATTTGCGCATATTGGGAGATGTAGCACGCTGTGCCTCAGCATATCTTTGATGCATATATGTTCCATCGTGAACTGTAGATCAAATGTTGACAACGGGAACCTGGCTAAGACTATTCTTAGTTGACGAGCAGTGACAAAAAGGTACATGTACATGTAGAAGGCCGCTAGTTGGCAATGGAATTCCAGATGAAGCCGAAAATCCTTTAACGTTTTAATCTTGGGTCATGTGCGTGAGCTCGGACGAATTCGTCTTGCAACGACGTCGTCATTTGAATCTCTCTCCCCGAGCCTATCCTCGTGAAACGCTTTCAAAGATTCATCGTCATCGTGGCCGATACGAAGTGCACGTACTTCACGAGTCACATTTTACGACATGCGCACGAGAGTCGGACAAGTCCTCGACCTAAGGCATGACCTCTCCCGTGATGTAGAATCATTTTCGTGTCCCCTGCAAATTTACTCATTTTACCCACGCGACCTCGATCTAAATAATGGATGTTAACGAGAAACGCAAGCGGAGGGGAGACGGAGCCCTGGGGGACTCGACCCACGACTCCAGCTTTTCGAGGCACTTCCGCCTCGACGATTAATCTCTGCTTTCTCCCTAACAACCAGTCGGTTATCAAGCTAATGGCCCTACCTCGAATCCCATGTGCCTTCAATTTGGAAGCGGAAGGTGACAGGAGAATGGAGACAAACAACGGGTAAGAGCAGTAGGGATATCGTCGACCGATGATCGTCGCGAAATCGATAAGGAGGCGCAGCAGAAGGAACTCACTGGCAATCCACCGATCCTAATCCTTGGACGCACGGTTGTAGAGGGCCGGGGGAGGCAGGTCGGCTCGTCCACGTGCGTGATCTCGTCTCCATTTAAGTACGGAGCTCCATTTACTTCGTCCGTTCGAACTCCGCTGTGGCCGCAGCTCTGAGTCGAGACAGTCTGGAGAAGCGACCGGCGGGCCGTCCACGTTCCTCTTAGGAGGCACGGACCCCACTTCGGCTCCAAATCAGGTTTCCTGCAAGGGCAAGTCTGTGCCTCCAGGCTACAAATCCGAGACATGTGCAGAGAAGAGAATGGGCTCTCGGCCACCACCCATTCCAATCCCAGTTGCGTTGAAGTCTGTTGAAGGTCAGGCCCGCCCAGAAGAGGCATCGGGAACAATATGCCCCGGGCCTCGAGTACGAAGGGGCCCCAAAGGAGTCTCCAACGAGACTGGATGTCAAGGTCTCGAAAGGGCTCATCCAGTCATCTCCATCCATTCAGTGGCCTCCGGTTAAGTTTTGCCCCGGGCCTCTGGAAACCCCTAGGCAGGTCTGTTCAAGGTCATCACTCTTTCGTTGGCAAGAGCCGCGCACGGATGTTAGGGTTCAACTCAAGGTCAACATGCTTCGACTGGTTTGGCAAGGGAAGGGAGGGATTTTTGCGTCTTCTCGATCCTCCCGACTACCTTCACGACCCACAATTTTAGAAATGGGGCGCGTTTTTTTCTCTCCAGCCGTTAGCAGCTGCTGGCGAAAAAGACGCGCTGGTTATGTACGACTACGCCATTGAAAGACGTCACTATTGGGCAGGTAGCTGCCAGCGGAACATTGCGAACTACGAGAACACCGAGCAGCTAAGCCTTAAAATGACGTGATCGGATGCTGGGGGCCTCAGCAGAGCCGCTAGCAAGAAAGACGAATACGCTCATCTAGAATTTTCTAGATCCAAACTCCACATTAGGTCTACTCAAACTCACACGTACACGGGAGGACCGACACAGACACATTTTTACCCAATGCGAGCTCGACCGTGAAAGAGGTCAACGAGACGAAGGCCTCCGAAGGCAAAAATACGAATTTCGGTTTTCCCATTCTGGCTGAGCCAGAGCTAGTTTTCCGCGTGCTCAATCCACATCCTCAGGTTATAATCACCCTTCCGTTCGTCTTTCCATGTCTCTCTTAATGATCGATGTCAGGTTGACCTGCAGTATTTTGCAAATGAATTCGTGCGACCTTTAACATGGAGCCCATGCTTTTCTATGCCTATTGATGCGATGTGGCCGTCTGAAGCGGAGGAGACATCTATCCTCCGGAATGGAAACAATAGTTGGACTTCATCTGCCGCGGCATTGGATCATCCATAATTACCATACGCAATTTTAAAGGTGGTTGGTGGTAACTGGATATCTATTTCACTGGCCCAAATAAAAATTAATGTAGGTTAAATTTAATTTAATTTAAAAAATAGAATGCGACCCTGGCCATACCCGGGCAGTCGGCCTCCCCCTTAGATCCACCACTGCATGCATATTGGGGTAGATAGAGGTGCATTGCTGTAGCTGCAGCAGCAGTAGCTGCCATGATGCGATGCCGAGATATTCCCTCAAACATCAGGAGTAAGGAGAACGCAGTTAACTGGCTCCATGAACAGGGCATTTTGCAAAGTCAAGCTCAAAAAATGCATGGGGCATTGCCCCGAGCTTCTGCCAAGGCACTACGTGGAAGCCTGATAAAGTGGCCTCAACCCCACAAATGACAGGTTCGATGTATTCATTTGGGGCGTCGAGTGCACGTTCGTCGATTAATCTAATGTGAAACCTGACGATAGACAAATGAGGAAATTTGCAGGTCTAATTGGTTTTGGATAAAATCGTATTAAAAAATGAGTGCATTTTACACCATGCAAATCGTGAGTCACACTTCATATCCAAAGTGCTGTGGTGGGTCACAGGCCATAGATAGGTCACACCTCATACGATTACCAACATTGGTAAACATTAAAGCACCGTTCACATTGATCCACAATATGCCCCGATAGGGTTTCACCTTTAACCGTAGTTGCTACGACTCAACGTCGCATTTCACTGCGTGAGACAAGGGTCCTTTCAAAACTTACTGCGCAATGGAAGAACCTCTCAGGGATTACCCGACTTCGCAGTACCTAAAAAGAAAAAGGGGGGGAGGGGGTGGGGAAGAATACTAGACGGGAGATCGCGCTTTGCACCTCGTTAGATTCTCCACATCCCGCATCGACTGAGACTGATGTGAAAACCACGCATTGCCGATATTACTGTGAAAACTCGAAATATTTGAATACCTTTTCAACATCATTCCATCCTTTCTCTTCTCACCATGCAGTCATTTGCGAAATTTTGCACTTACGAGTAACATTTTATTTAAAGATGAATCTCCGACGAATTGGGGTCACGCAACTTCACCAACATAGAAAGGTGGAAAACCTATTCCAAAGTGTTCACTTCGGTCAGGTTGGTTCTTCACTGCATCAAAATCCAGAGCAGCCAGGACAAGAGGAGGGCACAGGAATTCAGAAATTTAACCCTTCTCCCTCTAGACCAGGGGTCGGGAACCTTTTTGGTCATGCGAGCCATATGCTTATGAGCGAAATATTTTCAGAATAACATAATTTTTCCTGAAGTTGGCAACAGACACATGCATTCTTCGATACATGAGAAAAATGAGAAACAATCATGATTTTCAGCCACGCCTCAATGAGCCAAACTTGGCTCATGAGCCGTAGGTTCCAGACCCCTGCTCTACAGTCCTTACAGTGTTGAAATTCAACACAATCAATTATTCACAAGATGAACATTGGATGAGACTCTGGCCAAAATGGAAAATTTGATGCAATTTTCTTCTCTTCTACTCCAAGCATTTGAATTCTGTGCACTTTTTTGATTTTGTAGGTACACCAACATCAGCAAAAGTGTTGGTGATGACTGTATACAGAAGGGGGCAAAGGTACATCAGGAAGGCACCATGGGCATATATATAAATCATTGCTCAGGATAGTTTTATTTTGCAAAAGAGCCCAGAAGGCATGAAAATATATAATCCAGGTTACCTATTGTATTACAGTCATCTCTGCTCTTCCATAAATACAAAGATTTAACACTGCTACAATAGAGGGTGAGTCAAAAGCCCTGCCCACCTTTTGATCTTTCATAACTCATGACTGTAGAATCAGATTGTAATGCGGCCTAGATCATATAAATGTAAAGAAGTCTCTATATTTCACTTTGAATTAAAGATCATAAAAGAGTTATGAGTTTGAGGTCTGTAGCATTCATTCAAGCAATAAAAAGGAATTATGGTCTCTGAATATGGACACATCTCACAACAGCAAAGGTTTAGTTAACAGTCAACAAGAAGATTTATCAATTTCCCTGCTGACCAATTCAAAATTTTCTTCTTAAGGGACCTCTGTAGTAGGGCAGGTTTTCTATTGTCCCCATTGTGTAATATTCAAGTTGATACAGACAATTGACTTACTGGTGAGGGTTTCTCTAATTTATTCTTGAATTTGTAATGTTTTAGTGGTTTCCATTGCATTCTTGCCCCATTTGGAGCAACAATGAACATCTGCTATATGCTTCTGTATGGTCTTGTCATTTTGCTCAAATTTCTTTGAATTGGAATCTAGTTGCCACAATGCACAAGTGCATTTCCAGGTTTGAACATGTTAATAACTGCCAAAAAGGGAATTTACAGTTCAGGAGGAAAAAAAGTGGCATACAAAATAATGTGAAACATCTCCAAATATAGGAATTTCTTGCCTTCCTAATGGTTTAAACTGAATCTCATTAAGTTATGGCATTCAAAAGTACTGGTCATCAGCAAACACAGTGAATCACAATGAATTTTTATTTTTCAGTTGAAACCAAAATAAACAATATAGACAAGCAGAGAAAAAGGAAGAGGATCTCAAATGTCAAGTGTCTCCATGACTGTGATAGGAATTAGATGTGCAGGAACCCATGCTTTCCAGTTCATGGATTTGTTGCCTCAGAAAGAGAATCCGCTGTTCTTGGAGGGTGGCCTGAATTTCAGCTAATCTCACAAGGGAACGGGTCATCTTCAAATCGATGGACACTTTCCTACACTGAAGGCGCAGGGCATGAGAATCATCTGCCAACCGATTGATCTGCTTTTCCAGGTACTCCCTATGGTTCATTTGAACATGCTGTGTCAACTCAGGTCTATAAAACTGGCCCCAGGTTGGATTCAACATGGGCCCCGATGAGCCTCGTGCAATTGGATAACAAGGAACTGTCCTGGAGAGGGTAGAAATTTCCACTTCAGGAGTTGGGGGACTTCTTTCTGAGCCAACACCACTACCACTTCCACTTCCACTGGGGTAATGGCGGCGAGAACCTCCTTCTCTACTACTGCTCATTTTTTGCTTAAATTATATATCTGGGCACTTTGGCAGAGAACTCTTGAAATTGAAAAATATAGAAGGATGTAGTCACTGTTCACCCTTGGAGAGGTTGCTTATGCAGACCCACTGATCACCATCGAGGGTTTCCTTCCAAAGGCTCACCTACAGATAATAAAAAATACCTGAAGTTCAAAGGTACTTGAGGATTACAAAAAAGCTCATGAAAATGATTACCTTGTTATCTCCTCCACTCACAGCAAGGATATTGCCAGTGAGTGCCCAAGACACATGCCACAAGACGTCCTCAAAGACATGAAGGACCTGAGGTACCCAAGACCCTTGGATCTCCTTCCAGACTATGACCCGACGATCTTGGGAGCAGGAAGCAATAGTTGGATACAGCATACCAAGGCTGGGAGCCCAAGCTACATCCCGTACCCAGTCAGAATGGCCCTCCAATTTTGCATCTTCCACCCAGCCTTCTTCAGTTTCTCTGAACAGCATGAAAAGGCTCTTCAGTTCCTTATCTTTCTAAACTACTTTTGCATTCAAAAAGCATGAAACATGAAGGTAAATGTCATGCAGCTCATATTACTGCCATATATTTTTTGTGCAATAATAATTTTTATATCAAAATCTTCAAGACAGTAGTATGCTGTCCACATTTTTGAAAAAAGAAAAAGGCATTACCGATTATTGGCCCAGAACATGCCACTTAGTGCCACTTTGGGCATGCCTAGAGCATGAAGCATCATTTTGGCGATCTTTCTTGAGTAAAAGACAGGATTTCTGTCTCAGACTATAGTTTCTCACAATGTTACTGTTTCAGAGCACCTCAAAATAATTTGATTTAACAAAAATGAGACAAGGGATTAACTTCCTGGAAACTATGGATTGTAATGACAGCCCATTGACTTTCATATTAAAACATCTAAGAAATTCCTTACAGTGAAATTTTCATATCAATACCTGATATGTTCAAGGGGTTAATAAGGAATTTTTCTGTCATCTATGGCTGGAGCAGGAAAAACAATTTATAAGCATATTCTAATAGCACTTATGCTAAATTTGCAGTAAAAATCATCCATCATCCACCATATAAATAATTACTTGACCTCAATTTGCAAAGATGCAGAGTAATATTATGAAGATGCTAAGACTTGCTTGGAAAGACATGGCATTCATGAATAGAGCCATACTTAGCTGATGAAATTTGCACATGCAACAAAGGCAGAAGTACAATACAGGAAAAAAGACAAATATTATGTAGCACTTACTTCCAAACCTTAGCCAAGTTATCACATCCTCCAGAAACCAAACGTTTCACCTTTTCATCCACCACAGTTGGTGCCCAACTTACTGCATTGCACCCAATCTGTTGAAAAAATAACATGATGCATAAAAAGGAAAAAATTTGATTTAACATTTTGCTAGGGTAAAAGAACTTGGACTTGTGCCAAAGTTCACTGGAACATCAGGTTTAAGCCTTTGGTAAGGAATCACTTCTAAAGTAGGTATGTCTCTTTTATTTTCACTTCATGTCTTTCACATCTTTGAGTTGAGATCTACTTCTACCCTACCCTCAGTTTTAGGAAAACCCAATCAATTGGCACATGGTAGCACCTATTCCCTTTCTTCAATCCCTTTCCATTAATAAATTCAACCTCCACTTTTTCCTCTCTGAGAGAACCTGGAAGAATGAAACTGGGCATGCTTCTTACCCTTATGACACAAAATCTGGTTTCTATGAGATATGAATTTCATTCCTTTTTGTTTCCCACCTCCTCCCAGGGTAGCTCCTCCTGGAGTGTTATTGGAAGAGATAGACCCACCAAAAGAATGACAAGGAGTTGTCAAGTGAGATATGTGCCCTTTCTATTGTTGGCAATGCACCATTTTGCAGTGAAAATGAAATTGCTTGTCATTTATTTAAGGTTATCATGCAGACTCCAGTCTTATACCCATGGTCACTAGATATTGTGCTGGAAACATGTCAGATTTGTGATTGCTTCTGCTTTTATATTGGTATCTGGATCTTGTGTGTTTTTTTTTTAATACATGACACCTTTTTGTAAAGAGATCACAGGATGAAGTGAGAATTAAACAGTAGCTAGCTGCAGTTGATTGAAGTGATGGGATATACACAGATGTTACTGAATTAACAGGATGGCATTCAACATGCATATGAATTTTGGAGGCAGTCTGTTGACCAATATGAGTCAAGATGGTTGAATAAATTCAAAATTGGCCTAATGTTATGAGTCCTCACTGAAAAAGTGAAACCTGAAATGGGCTCATAATCAGCCTGAGATTATGTATCCCCTCTGAAATGTTGTGAACAGGCCTACAATAGGCTAAAAATTATACATCCTCATCAAGATGTCTTGAAAACTCTGAGATAGAGCCTTATAGGGCTAATTGGTCCCATAAGTCCTGGGATGAGATTCTTTTACGTGAAAAATATAAGTTAGACCACGCGAGTACAATCCATTGGATAGACCTAGGCCTAACATAGTGAATTCTGTGGAGAGGAAAGAGGAGGGAAGGGAATGTGGTTGAAGAAAGGGAAAAGCTTTTAGGAAAATAGTTTTCACCCTTCTTTTCATGACTTTTCATTTACTTGTGAAGTTCTCTTCTTGATTCTTAGATATCAATGTATCCCCAAATACTGAAGTCTAAAATATGAAAGAATGGCAAAGTCTGACATTTAAAAAAAAAACCTCAAGTGTAAGTTCCATACCTTCCAATTTTCCCTGAACCTGAAAGAACATATAAAAAGGGTTGCCTACAGAGGGTTGTCAAAGGGAAAAGCTATTCAATAATTCCTATCTTTGATAACTTTCATTTTTTGAGTCCCTCAAAATCAATCACAGTATTAAACCTTGAAACCTACAAGCACATATTTTGTTGAGAAAAAAAAAATTAATTCAGCTTTTGGGAAGAAAATTGCAAGTCTCCATCAGTCCTCAATTCAGCTAAGAGCTAAGCCATAGCATTATTTTGTCTGGGATGCTTATAATGCAATACTGGGTTTAGAATTTGGTGGTTGAGAATTTCTCCTAATCTTAACTGGAATGCAGGATGCTTTACCTCCTCAGACCCATAGAAATAACACACATAGGACTTGGCTTATGCATATGCCACCCATGTCTTAAAAAATTAAAATTATGGATGTAAGAATACCAAGTATGAAGTATTGGTGTCTGACCAATGAAAACTGACATTGCTCAATATCTACATGGCTAATATACCAGTCAACATATTTGTTTTCTAAAGAAAGATTGCTCCTCTTTATTAATCAATCTCACATTCTCCACTTCAACTTGGAAAATAGGGAAGGGTTGATGGTGCAGATCAAATGAAGAAATAAACTAATCATGTACAATTGCCGCTACAACTAGATACAGCTGAATTGGACATTACCGTTTTTATACCATAATGTAAACTGATCTCCAATCAAATGGCATACAATTGCCAGGCATCAACACTAGCGAAAGTGAGTCAAGAAGTGGTATTCTCTTTTTCATAGGTCTTACATGACCAGCCAGACTGCAGTATGGTGCATTACCACCAGCCCAACCAAGCTTTACTGTGAAGTAGCACTACATTTCTCTATTATGCTACCACCTGTTTCTGTTAAAGTTTCTTTAAGAAATCCCATAAGAAATACTTTCCCAGTCGTAAAACCTTATTAAGCCTTCGTTAGCGTAAAAGCCTGTCTATACTTAGTCGACAAAACGGTTGTCATCTCGACTTCGGTAACGTTAGGCCTAGGCCTGTTTTTGAACACTTAATTACATGGTATGCCTTAACGTTAGACCCATTGGATGCTTTGTGCAGGAATGTTCATAATTTTCCCAGAGAATAACTATAGACCTAGGTGTTGACTAAGCGGTGATGCGGCACAAAGTCTAATCACAATCGTTGAGCTCGGGCGCGGAGAGGCATCTGTAGGCCGCCATGTAAGTATGAGCGTATTCGAGAATTCCACTGCGATTGGCTTGGCTAACAGCAAAACCTTCTATCCATCGCAGACATGCTTCCAGACAACGGTTCGCGCGATTCTACTGAAACGTATGTATACTATGAATAAAAATGTTATGAAATTACTACGCTACATCTTACCCGTCGAAGTTCATTTATTTTAGGAATTCCACGACCCCACATTTCCATGAATGGGAAATTATAATGTAAACCCTTTAATAATGGCGCAGCAAATATGCTACATTTTGACCCAAAAATATTAGAACGATAAACAATCCATGCAACAATAAAAAGTTTGGGCCTTAAACTCACATATTTGAATAAAGAACTTTCCTCTCGTGTTCTAGGACCGAAATGAAACCCATAATATTTTTCTCGCCGAAAAAAAATGCTTTCATTGCTATGATCAAGCGAGCGCAGGGATTTTAATATTCTTGCTCTTCTTACCCGGGATTTTTCAGGGCAATCTGAACCAGTCCAGTTATACTTACATAATAAAATCAATGAGGAAACATATATATATATATTTTTTATAAATTGGGCACACAATGTTGCACTCATAGGATGCGTAAAGAAAAAAAATTTGCAGTTAAAGACTTAAGAAATTCAACTGCAGAACTTCCTCTCTTACAACCCTAAAACAAACAACTGCTGGACTGGAGGAGAGGATTAGATTGAACCTAGGACTTTAATCCTGGGTCAATCCCCATGCATTACATGCTGGATTTGCTTTTGAGGTAAACAGGTTGAGCCCATTATTCAACCCAATTGGATGGGACATAGCCTAGGAATGGGTTATTGATTGGTCAAAATGATCCATCAAGTGTGCAACTTTCTGAGCAAAGTGGAATCCACAATGTGTAAATATTTTTTAACTGTAGCAATAGTATTGTATTATAGAAACAACAGTATTATAATGCATAGTACTAGATTGCAGAACTATACTGTTTTATGTAAAAAAAAAACTGAACATGAACTCTTTTATTTTATCCTAGTATGTAAATATGTAGTGCAGAATATGATACACTACAATTTAAAAAGAGGCATGAGGTATAAGGGACATGGGTCATGAAGAATATATCTGTCACTTCCACTTGATGCATTAATGTCCATATAATCCCTCTTGCTGGCCTTGTTGACCATAAATGATCATATTTACTGGTCCACATTCTTAAATGTATTCAAGGCTCTATAATAAAATGGGCAGAGGATTCTCATTTACAAACTCAATTGAGAGTTGCTTTGAGAGTGAGGACTTTCTTATGAAAATTGATTTTCAAGGTTGAGTGTAAAGATGAATATCATGAATATCATGCTAAAAACACATCTCTTCTTGAACAAGTATGAACTCCTCATGCAACCTTACATCTCCCTTCCTTTGGACAAAAAACAAAGGGAATCAACCAATAACTGTTGTTGCTCATTCAAAATGCCAATATATGCATGGTGAGGGTGATATAGCGGATCGACGCAGAAACTAGGAGTTCCATACTTAAGTGTAGATGTCGTGATGACATTGG